CTATATGCCGATGTTGTACACCAAGGACCTGCAAGTGTCCTATGTTAAAGGTCAGTGCATGGTGGTCCTGTCCTCACCCAAGTTGGGACAAGCAGCTTGGGATTGTTCTGCAGCTTTCAGGGAAGTCAGTGCCAAAAGTTGCCCTTCACATTCCAACCCTTCACAGGCATGAGGAATGGGGCCATCATCTTCTCACCATGCTTGGGAACAAAATGCCTGCCTGGTCTAGATTCTAGATGTTACACTCCCTGAAACCAATCATGGACTACCTGCTGTTTGTAGGGGATTTCATCGCATTTCCGACTTTCCAGCGGCCAGGACGTTCACTTCTATGATTATTGCAAGGAAGGTCCCAGAAAAAAAACATCGGTGTCATCTGCGAGCTCAGACACCCATCGCGGCAGCCAGGTTGGTACAAAATCCAAACCTCGGGAATGGCTCTTTGTACTCCAAGGGTTTCATGGATCTGGTCGAAAGTTTCCTGGGATCGTGGATCGAAAGACCCTCTGCCCAGCCTGTACCGCTAGGATTTGAGCCACCACCTTCCAAGATGTGCAATACCCTTAATCCGACGGCACATGATCTCCCATTTGCTTCCTTCATTGACTCATTGACCAACATGCAGCCTGTGCCTTAGATCACTTACCCTCCCTCCGACAATCATGGAAGTGGAAGTTCTGGCACCTTGGAAGACTATTAACATGCCTTTTGCAGCCATGCCAGGAGAAAACAAACTTCGGGTCAGCCCCCCCAATTTGGCCAGCTCACTGTATGCGATCTCAGCGATCTTCCGATTCCCACGACCCTTCTGCAAAATAGTGTCCTCCCCTGAAAATAGAACAGCTAGTTCTCTGGAAATTCCTTGTGATATCGCTTCACTCTTGCTGCCAGGCGCAGGATGCTGCCCAGCAGAATGGAGAACAGCGCGCACAGCAAGACGGGCTTAGGGCCATACCTTTGGGCCACGCAACCCCAAAACGTGGAGGTCACCTCGGCGCCCGGCCCCGCGGTCCTGGCCCCGCGGCCCCGAGGGGATCCAGGAAGAGCGGACCAAAAGGGCTGATACAACAAAATAATGTAAGGACTCGTTTGAACAAGTCTTGATACCTCATACTATATATATATATATAACTACACTTAAATTAACTACTATATATATAATAACTATAGACATTTAACTATATATATATATAGAGACAAAGGTTGTTTCACTATTTCATGCAGGGAGTGTTTAGGGGTGAGTGTTTGGTCCGATGCCCATTTGTGTTCTCGTGATGCACTGTGATGGGAGGATCCAAACCAACCAACTGGTTGCGAGGTGAAGAAGGCTGGCTTTGATACAACATGGTAATGTAGGCTCTTGATGAATCAGCCCCCGCATTTAGATGGAATAACCTCTTCAGACGGGGTGTTTGGCATGTTGAGATAAAACACGCATCACACAATCGCACGCATATTATATATATATACATATGCTCCACCTCAATATGCCATACACTGATCATGCATGGAGTGTCTGGAATCCACTGGTGCACCAGGACCCGACCCAATGTGCTTGATCCGACCCAACGTGGTCTCTGTGCAAAACGGAGCCCTGCCTTCTCGCTCTGAACATCCTGAACTTTCCAAAACGGAACGTCCAGAAACCCTTCTACTCACCGCCCTGGAGGGAGAATTTGAGAAATTGAAAAAGGACATGAACAATCCACTCCACCGACCCGTTCCAATCAAATCCAATCCACCACCCCCGTTCCTCAACCAACTCCTCTCTCCGAACCTGCCGAGCCGCGATGCGGCCGCACACGTTGGCCGACTGCAAATAGCCTGCCACAAAGCCCGCGGAGTTCGTGTCCTCCTCAGGTCGCGCGGTTTGATCCAGCGGGAAGCACTTACTTGAGCCTTTGGAACCGGGGGCTTTCGGGGAGGTCCTTTTGTTTATACCAAAAGAGATAAAACGGTGGAGTGGTCCCATCATGGATGAAAACCTAGGTTCTCGAAGTTCTCGATGTCCTACCATAAATCTGTTCCTGACTTGTGGTGGCAATGAGGGGCAGCCGAGAACAAACCAACAAAATGTTGACATCATTGGGGTCTGATCAGGAAAAATCAAAACAAATCATAAACCAACCTTTGGGTATTGTTTCATGCATGGAGTGTCAATACCCATGGCTATATGGTTCACCACTGGGAGACCGACCGGTTGACCACCAACCTACCAGGGTTTTCGTTCCGGGTTCCAGGTGCCACGACCCACGGATCCTAACTTAAAGGATTCTGAAAGCGTCTAAACTCCCATCCATGCAAGTGTTCGAAGTCTGGAGCTGGCAACTTCAACCTGGACCAACAGTACATTATACATCTATACATCTAGACAACTGTTTTTGACAACAGTTGCTTTATACCTTATACATTATATTTTTTAAAAGTTTATACATCTATACAACGACTTTCAGGTCCATCAGTGCCGACTCCACAGCACTTGTCCCGGAACCAGATCAAACACATGCCTCCTCTGACCGGACCGGCCCAACCGATTTTGTGCGGTTCGCCCGAAGGTCCACCGGAGAATTCGCATTCGGTCCCACCCTCCGAGCATCGGTCCACTTCATGTCGGCCGTCAACACGCCCGCATAGCCTCGGAGCATCATGTCCCGCAGCCAACGGCCGGACCAACGACCGGCGACGGCGGCGAAACGCAGCGTGCGCCCCCGGGGCATGGTCCGGCGCGGAAGGCGAGGCGAGCGGCGCCGGAACGGCAGATCCCAAAATGGTCAAAGCATCGTGCGGAGTGGCATGGAGCTTGCTCCCCTGTTTTGCGGTGATCGTTGCAGTGTCGAAGGATTGACTCCGGCTTTGGGATGATTGCATTTCCACCTCACTGGTGAAAGTCCCTTCGATTCTGTGGGCGAGATCGAGCGAGAAACGGCAACCATCCCCACTCACTCACTGAGCCTGGCCGAATGAACGCAACGAAAAAATGTTGTACAGTATATAGTATAGATATACAAAGGCAAGCAAGGGACCACGAAGGTTGTGGCAGCTTGTTGGCAACGGAGATCCTTACAACCATGTGACCATGTGGACCTGAAGGCATGACATCCCATCAAACAAAATATGTTAATCACAATATACACGGGACAAGCTGCCCCAATGCTCATCATCTGCATTGTGCATCGATTCGCACAACATGACAATATCAGTATCTATATGATAATATGACAATTGTATAATATTGTATGCCTATATATATATACACCTATTCCATCCCCACCATTCTTTGTAGCTTCTCTCTTCAATTCTCTTCCCCTCGAAAAGCTCCTCTCACTTGGACCGACCATTCCACAAAGTGTTTTCCGCACCATTTGTCTCCCCTTGTCCGTTCTCGGCAGCCGGCTGAAGAGTGAGCACACAGTGTAGAAGTGAGCGCTGTCCATCATACAAAGAAAGGCCAAGTGCCATCCTTGGATGAATAGAGGTCCATGAAAAGGCTTTAGGAGGCCAAGCTGACCCAAACTGGTGGACAGTGATGGTTGGGGTGAAGCAATGAATGTTCCTTGACGTACTTGGTCGGCTGCTTTGCTCGAAGGGATAGAATGCCAAATGAACAAAACTCTAGATCTAGCATTCATAGAGATCGGCTGTGGGACAAAAAACGCCTCCTTCTAATCGGCTATCTCTTTTTGTGGCCCGACCCACCAAGTGCAACTGGGGTCTGGAGTCAACATCTTGTATGGTCTCTACAGTACCTGGAAACCTCCATGTTGGGTCATAGGATGTCATTTTCCAGGCCAAGGAAATAAAGCTTCAAACACACAACGTTTCGGCTTTGGGGAAACCACGCCACAAGACACTGAAGATCCACGAGAAATGACCTCAATGGGGCTGGCCACCATTGAACATGCAGATCGCTGATGTGGTAACATGCAGATTGCGAGGCAAGATCCTCCAACACAGCGTCCAAGCCGCAGGGAGGGGATCACCATCAAAGCCGGTCTCAGGGGGCCCAGTCTTAGACAAACACCAAGGATCGTGGCAAGGGGGCCTCGGCCACGTCTCCTTCGCGGCTCTTCGCCATCCGTGAAGCAGCCCAAGCGGCTTCGCTCCATGGGCAAACGCCAACCAAATAGTTACATTGCACAGTGACTCCCAAGATGAGTATCAAGTGGATTGCATTGAACCAGTGGCTCCAACAAAACATAATGGATTGCATTGATCAAGCACACATTCCCTAGAAGCGGCCTAGTGCCTGCTGAGCTAATAGGTCTGGAAGGGCCTCTGTTTGAAACACCATGCTTTGGGTCTACATCTACTTTTCGGGTATGGATTGCCTTCGGGTGTGAGCTGATACAGGATGATACAGGGTCGCTGACATGTCCCAAAACCTTTGCCAAAGAATTAGCTTCAAAGCACTGGGCCAGCAACCTTCTGCATTCAAATCTTCAGACAAAAACAACGAATCGCAAACGGGACAGGAGCAACGGAGCAAGCCATATAATTCTAACTATAACTATATATATATAATTATAGTGGCCTGCAGTCACTTAGAATATTACCTAATGCCCCCGGGGCATTAGGTGATTATTCTATATCTTTTTGGGGAAACACTTAGAATATTGGTTGGATAGGTTTGGATGAGAAGTTGAAGAAACACATGTCATGGGTGGGAAAAGGTAGCGCAGTGAATCTGAGGTATGCTGAATATTCTATCTGCTGGCTTCAAAAAACTGAACAATTCTATCTGTTAGCTTCTAAAAATTATTCTATGTGTTACCTAATGCACCTTAATATTCTATCTGTCTGAAGTTCACTATACATGAACTCAGGGCGAGGGGTCATTCACTTGTCATGCTCAGTCATGCTCTTAACACTGGTTCCCACCCAAAGAGGCTTGTGGGGTTTCGCGAAAAACGTCTGCTGATCCGTGGCTCTGTGGTGGAGGAACGGAAAATCCTTCCCTTCCCCCCCCAACCTATACCACCTCACAGCCTGAGGGCCCCAACGCACGCGCCTTGCCCTGATGAAGCACAGCGAGGCGACATGTGGGGTGAGACCTTCTTGGACTGTGATGAGTTGATTCAAAAATATTCAAAGCACAACAGGACGCGGTTGGGATCCAAAAGTGGATTCTCGCCGACGAGTTTTTCACGCTGCGTCGCCCGCCAACGCTCACACGGCATAGCAGTGTGGAACCAACAGTGGATTAAGAAGGTGAAAGGCAACAGCATTGCACTCACCAAGGCCCATAATCCTCTTACTTGCGCAACGCGTTGCGCAATGCGACGGACCCAAATCTCTTGTGATCGGGGGCCGAAGCATTCCAGGTGTTCAAACAAACCACGTCCACGGAACCGAAGCATTCCAGGTCAAACACGGATCCGAAGGGAAGGGGATCCGAGGATCCCAAGAAGTTCCCTATAGAATTGGCTTTGCTGGTCATCCTGGGCCCGTGTTGTGCAGTTATACAGCTATAGCATGCTATAGCAACATAGAGTCCCCACAACAAAGGGGCCTCCAGTGTGACAAGCTTGAACACCCTGCACTTCAAGTCAAAGACGCCTGATCAGCCATGCCACAACCCTGGCTGTATGAGGGAGCCTTGTTCCCAACCCTGAAGGGCTGTGGCTAGTTATCGGATGGTCCATGGCGTGCCAAATGGTCAACAAAGTGACAAACCAAAAGCCGTGTTTTTCAAGTTGTTTATTTATTCTTCTCTCTGCTTGAGGATGCACAGTTTACCAAATGCGTATTGCGTCTAACGGTCTTCACATGTCTTCACCCAAGCTTGATTCTGCCACAGAGGGTCCACATTTTGAGACATGCCCAGAACAGAAACAACTCCTCTCCCGCATCCAACAACATGCCTGTGAGTTGCGGAGGGTTGACATGGCCCGGTCAGCCGCTGAGGCGGCCAAGGCCGAGACCTCAGGAGAAGGATGATTCATCCAGCAGGAGTGGCAGTGGAACAATCGTGATCGTTCACGGAATGTACTTCACTGAGGTTCCACTGAGACTTCTTGCTCAAGAATCTCCATCTTGGAAAGTCTAGAAAAATAGAAAGAAACCGGCCCTGCGCACCAGTCGTGCCTTAGCAATCTTCTCCTCCTGAACAGGGATCAGCCAAACGACGTAAATCGAAACACGAAACGGGGAGCGTGCGCGGCATGCGAAACCGTTGGGAGATACAAAGCCTAGATGATGACCTCTCGCTGGATACACATGATACACCACCTCTATCAGGTCGATCCTCGCTTCGCCCGCCTTATCTGAGCCGAAGTAGTAGTCCTCCAGGTCGACCAGCTCCTGCGGATTCCCGGCAGTCGGGTGGACCGGCGGTTGGACGGTCGAGTCGGCTCCGTCCTGGTCGAGTCGGGTCCGGTCGTGTTTTCCTCGCCGACGTGGTGGTGTACTCAGGGTCCATGGCGATCGTCGACACCAGGGCGTATTGAGAGAGTTTTGGGGAGGTGTTCAGATGTGTTCAGCCTTTTGGGGAAGCTTTGATGGGCTGCCTCGGTGGAGAATGAATCTATATAAAGTGTTGGCATTCTCCTTACCAGTGCGTGCACGCCTGCCGCCTACCTGTTGACGACTTGCCTCAACTACACCAGTCGTTCTTTCGTTGGTCCATGCCTGTTCAACTTGCACCCACAGAAGTGTAAAAGCAAAGACTGGAGAGTTGCTATGAAACTGCATGAGACTACATTTAAGAGGTCCAGTAAAGTGGGAAAGTCCGTGACCCTACTTCTGATCACCCTTTTCTCGGCTCTGCGCCAACAAACTGCCAAAGGTCCCTGGCGGATGCTCGTTCAGCCAACGCTTCCGCGGCGGTGGTGCCGGGTGATCCAGCAAATGCGTGTGATCCGGTGCAGGTGGCAACCTCGCTCGGATCACACAGCAGCATGTTTCTTGACCCAGGGTGCCTCCTCATTGGCACCATGACAACATTTGATGTATATAATTACATTTGATTGCGCAGTTTATTATATTGATCGTATGCAATCACATGATACTGTATGTGCACATGTGCATGCGCACGCCAAAAGACCACTGAAGAACTACTTGCGACACTATGGCCAAGCGTTTTGAAGACTACCCGTTCGACGATTTCTGGTCATGCCATGCCCAAACTCGCTTCTGTTCAAAGATTCTGCCGAACATGCTTCAATTGTCGGCCGCATCAGGATTCGCTCCAGCAACGCCTGTCGGTTTTAGATGGTTTTAATATCTATTTCTCCTCTTCCAGGGGCAACGTGGAGCATGTTCAGAGGATTCTTTGATGAATGGGAATTGACATGCTTGCACTTGGGGGATGATCAGCCTTATAAATCCAATCACCAGTTCTTGTCCAGGTCAAGGTGCGTTCTGCTTTTGACCCCGGCCCTTTGTTTCGCCCACCTCGAACTCATTCAAATTCCTAGACAAAGATCCACGAAAGACTTTATCACCAGCCCCAAATCATCCATACGACTGGACAAGCTACTTACGATGTACTTATATGGATGGGTCGTTTTCATGAGTATTCCAGGAATTCGTCCCAGGAACGGTCTGGGAACCATGGTTTTTTGTTTTTTCCCGAATGCGTAGCGAAGGGTTCCCGTTTATAGTTGGGGGTCTGGGGGTTGGAGCTATGTTTGCGTGGCGTGCGTCGTCTCGTCGTCTGTCGTCGTTTGTCGTCGTCTCTCGTCGTTTGTCGTCGTCGTCGCGTCTCAAATTTGCATTGGCGTGTGAGCGGATGTTGTTTGACTGTTGTTTGGAGGGGCTGGAATCGCGAAACTGCTTGGCAGGGCTGCGTGATGTGTGTGCTCCGATGGGTGTTTCCGCTTGACTTTTGGAGCAAGTCTCGTACGAAACGCTCGTTTTGCAGACTTTCCACGGTGAGTTTTTGAGGACGTCTCGTACTAAACGCTCGTTTTGGAGACTTGACGTGTGACTTTTTGAGGAAGTCTCGTACGAAACGCTCGTTTTGGAGACTTGATCCCACAAGAGTGCCCTACAAGAATGTCCCACAAGAGTGTCCTACACGAGTGTCCCACAAGAGTGTGCTACAAGAGTGTCCCACAAGAGTTTCCTACAAGAGTGTCCCACAAGAGTGTGCCACAAGAGTTAAGAGTGTCCCACAAGAGTGTCCTATAAGAGTGTCATTTGGACATATGTAGCTCTTCGATCGTGTTTGCATTCGGGTTCGTGGGCTCGTACGACTGGACAAGCTACTTACGATGTACTTATATGCCCAGGAATGGTCTGGGAACCAGGGTTTTTTATTTTTTTCGAATAAGCTGGACTGTAAGACCTCCTTGCTGGCCGCCGGTCCAAGCCACTCTCCAGCGGCGATCCATCGCTCGGCGGCTTTCTCTGGGAGCTCCACTTTCTCCGGTGGGTTTGGAGGGAGGTCTTCCACTGAGGGCACTGGGGCATAGGCAGGCTCACGGCCTGCACGGAAGAAATTGCGGCCAAAGTGCGTGACATCCTGGTAGTGGGATGTATTTGGGTGGAAATGACATAGATTGATCACACTTCAGGCTGCAACCAATCCTAGGACTGCTCACATTCTAAGTCGAAATTATGCGGTCAAAGTCATGCCGCGCATGAGCACCGATATGAGCATCAAGATTACAGTATCAGGTATGCGAGTTATGAACTTGTGACGCATCCAGTGCATTGGAACGTGACTGGAACCAACTCAACTGCGGTGTTGCCCCTGGGCCTCTTGAGATCTGCAGCCGGCAAATCACCAGCCAACAGGCACACAAGGTGAGTGTCACCTCACGTGTTGACTGCAAACATCCACTCCACATACCATCTCACTGTGTGACACCAATCAGCGCGCGCCGCCATGTTTCACGTATGCCGCCGGTGTGTTACGTCGGGTGTTTTTCCAGCCAACAAATGCAGGCATGACACTTGTTTTATGTTGAGCTCAATTGAGTTCCAGTATAAGCTGAATGGCGTTGAATGGCCCTTACAGTGTAATGGTCATTCAAAGAGCCGATTCTCCGATCATCCAGGTCATTTTTAAAACCAAACAGAATGGCCATTATACACATCAGTTTGTAGAACACCTGCTTTGTCAAGCTCTATATTACTCTATATGAATCCATCACTATTTCCAGGCGCCCGGGATCTTTAAAAAATCTGTTTGGAACGCCCAGCGCATCCAAAAAGCCCCTTCTTTCCAATATCCTTCCACCACCAAGCGGCCCATGCAGCGGTCAAGAGTTGCATCTCTTCCCAGCCCCCCACGCGCACGCCCCGCACGCGCGGCAGCCGTGTGTGCCCGCCAAAAGCGTGGTCAAACTCACGGCGGCTCAGGCAGTGGTCGCGGTTATGGTCGAGAAGATGAGCTGCTGGCTGCCAACGTGGCGCCTGGAAACCATCAGCTTCCCCAAGAAGGAACATGGACTGAAATAATGATATCCAATTAATGATAAACCATGATAAACCCATGACTTCTTTTTGTTCTGGAATATGGACCTACAGTCCTGCGTTTCAGTTGAGCCTGGATCCAGGTGGACGATCCTTTTCCACCATACCACGCAATCGACTTGAAAACAGTCTGACTCGGGATCGAAACAACGGGATCGACCCACCCACCACAGGCGGCCCGTCCACTGCGGCGCCTCCGGCATATGCCCCCAAAAGGCTTCGAAGCGGCTCCAGGGCAAGAGCCCTGCCCGTGGGGGCCAACAGTATGTTTCGGATCGTTTCCTTTCCGTCCTGAGTCCTCCAGCTGCTCTATTCACTCGAGTGTTGAACTCGCTCCGTTGCAACCGAGTTGTCTGGGTGGAGGCATTAGAGTCTAGTGCAGGTTGGGTCATGAGACACCCTCTAATAATCCGACTTAATCCCTCTGCATCATGATATCGATTGATATCCATTTTTATCACCTTCCAATTCATTTGGCTACTGCTTCTGATAAACACCAACATCTGGGCACTGGCTTCATTGGCCCAGTGGCGCCACCATGGCCCGGCCTTGCTTGGCCAGTGGCGCCACCAACTCGGTCCAGGCTCTTTGGGATGAGTTCTCATCTGTGCCTGGGCACGTGCCCCCCCTCGCGGGCCCCTCCATGCAGCAGCTTATGCAGCATATATCCACGTCATAGCGCATCTCTTAAGATGGGACTGATACGGATGTTTTTCCTTCAACAAGAATCAAAAGAAGTATTTCCTTCAACAAGAATCAGAAGAAGTTTGACAAAACCGACCGGCACCACCGTACCTGGTACCTCCACCACCTTCCACCAGCACCAACGCAGCCCCCTTGGCATCACCCAGCTGCCGTAGCGTGCATGGGCCCAAGCGCGCCAGGCGTCCAGCGCCTCAAGCGCTTCCGAGGTGTTCAGTCCGGCGCAGCCCTGCGGGGCGGGCGAAGCGCAGGGAGCTGCCCCGGTGTAGCCTGAACTGCTTGGCCATGCTGGGCCACCGGACTGCAGGGTGGAGACTTTTATTGGGGGTCAATTCTTTTGGAGTTGGGGCTCTGAGGTGAAAATTCTTTCAGGGTCCAGTGTCCTCAACACATTCGATGCATGTACTGCTGACTCCTAAATAAACTGGGGTGCCAAAAGTTGCGCTTCTTGACTTCTAAAACATCACAAACCCTTTCCCCTTAGAATCCTACGTGCAACATGTCGACACCTCAGTTGCGTTCAGATTTCCACACCTGAAAGCCTTATAAATATTATAAATTTAAACGGGTGTGGAAATCTGACCGTGCTGTACCTGCCACGAAAAATGGACGTGTTAATCCGATCCGCTGTAGACCGCAAGTGTCATGTTGGAACAGAGTAAGAAGCGTAAACTTTAGGGTTCTTGAAGTATGAATTGTACAAAGATAAGTGTATAGATATAGCCTTAGGATTTCGTTGTCAAGGCAGAGTTTGGAAAAAACT